ATGACCAGGGTTGACATGCTGTTGGAGAAGCTGCTCCCGATAGAGCCCAACAGTCGTCGCAAACGAAAGCGCAGATGACGATTGACAGGTTAATGGGAGCGAGCTGGGTGAAGTGAGAACAATTTTTAATGTAAATTAAGAGTTATTTTCTCCAACACAGACGGCTATACACGGGCAGCCGTTGAATCCGGAAAGACGCCCGGGTGCCTGGAAAATCAGGCCTCAGGTGCTGAGGTTTGACGTATCGCTTAGAACAATCACGCACATGAAACCGTTTGTGTCGCAGGTCGACTGAGCGCTGTACATCGGCTGCGTCGCATCAGAGGCACTGATCAACACCGTGTCAAACGCATGTTCGCCTTGCAGTTGACATGCTATTGTGAATGCCGGAGTAAATTACAAGATCTTCTTTGAGGTGGGAGCACTGGATACTTGATGAGATGCAAGGACGCAGGTACGAAGGAATGCCAGGTACTGCTAAGACGGCATCACATGACAGACAAGGTGACGCCCCACTGCAACGGCGGCCCGACAGCAGCCATCGGATCAGGTGGTGAAGGAGGCGGTGAAGTGACAAAGCGCCCTTTGAAAGATGTGATGCAAATGGTGATTTAAAGATGTGATTGGGCGGAAATACAGGCGTGTTGACGAAATCACCTTCCTAAGATTGAACAAATGTCAGGTAATAGGGCTAGGCAATATGACCCACATCGGAGTGATCATTAAGATGTACAACTGTCGATCTCAAGAGCTCGGCGTTGATCGATATTTTGGTGCGGATACCGCACGGCAAAAAAGATGGCCAATGTTCAGGGTTTTAGCTTCCATTGGCAGTAGATGGACGGTGTAGTCAGAAGAAGATACTTACATGGTGTCGTGTCGCCTAAACCGCTGCCAGCACCCATTACTAGATTGGGGTGTTGTGGCGGTGACCAAAAATTGGGAATTAGTTGCCTTGCTTGCTGGCAGTCAACGTTAGCGCAGCCGTGGTCATCGTCCAGCCGTTGTCATTGTCACCGTTCAACGTAGGTTGTGTTTAACAATCTAGCGCTCTGTGGGCCATTTCCATTGCCAACTTGTATCAGTTAGTCGCATCGCGATACATTTCTTGTTCTCACTCTCTTGCTTTAATCTCGAGCGCGTGGTTTATCCAAGCTCGAGCCGAAGTTCAAGAGGCTATTCAAGCAACCTCTTAGGGCAAATTATTTGACGAATCGAGCTGGTTTCGTGTCGTCAAACATGTCAGGTCCCTCTTACCAATTCAATACGCCTCGTCCTCGTCCACCACCACCTCCTCTACGCTTTCAGAAATCTCAAAATTCTTCATTGACAAATACGCACTCAAATTCGCAAACACTCCTTTATGATCTTCCTCATTCGAATTCTGTCGTTTCACCTCCTGGAAGTCCGGCTGCGAAACCTGGTGTAATACCGCCGTCCTCTCCTTCATTTGGTGGCAGACCCAGAGGACGCAGAAATGGTCACCCTGGGCCAACGCCGCCCCCTACTTCTCGAAATCGATCGATCACTCCTCTTGGAGTCTCTCGCAGCGAGCTCGAGAAATTTGCCGAACTCTGTCGTGCATGGTATGCCTTTGTTCTCAAGCGATTGCCATGTTGATCATATTTCATGTCACTAGGTACTTCAACCAAGATGAAGCGTCTGGGCGACTAGTTACACAGACACTAGCAAATTTACCTCCTGCTCAACGAGCACCATTTTCACGCCTCCAGGCATCCATTCGCTCTGCTTACCATGCGAGCGTCAATGCCCGTCGACACGCGGAATTTCAGGCACACATTAACGCAACTCAGCCTGGTGGTTCGTTAATGCCGCACTCTAGAGCGAATCCAAGCGGTCCAGTAGCCGCAAAAGAACGCTTTGACCGATTAGATAAATTTGTTAAGACCTGGTGTACCATGGGCATGCCTGGAACCAAACCGTTCTTCCAGGCTTTGTGGGCAATCCTGCGGCTTCAAGTTGTCCCAGAGCCCCTTGGCGGTTCGGGGGCGAACCGAATACGCTGGGAATTTGACGACGCTGTTTTCAAAGAGTCTGCGTAAGCATTCTAAGGTTTCATTTGTGTCTAAATCTATCATACTTACCTTTCTCACACGGCATAGTGGGAAAGACTTCATGCTTGATGCCATCGATGTCCTCAAAGGAGTATGTTGTTGTTATTCGTTGATCGTCGATGTACTCAACCGACCCTACAGGTGTTGGCCTTTGAAGAAGCGTCGTCCTCGAAGCACGACAGCAATTGCGCGTCTCACCAGTCACAGCCTGCGCACTTGCGCTCCCGCTCACAACCTTTGTCCGCTCACCGCGAGACGATTGGTTCGTATGCTTCACCAATCGCCATGACTACCCAGGTAAAACGCGCGAGAGCTACAAGCGACCCGTTTTTAGATATGCCCGCCCTCTCACACTCCCTCCCATCTGCGTCTTCCCAATCTTCCGGAGCTACTATTCCTTCTTCTGAAACTCCCGAAGATTGTCCCAGCTCCCTCACCCCACACGATCAACTTGGAGAAGATGAATTATTACCCCCACTTCGATCAGAATTCGTCGCAGAAGATCCAGAAGATTACTTGCGCATTTGGACGTCCCCGGATCTTCCAAATCCTGAGTTGTTGTCACTACTAACTGTATTTCCTTCATTCATCACCCGCTGCACTCTGCCGCGTTTCACCGTACCTCTGAATGCTCGTGCCGCCGATATTGAGGAGGGCGAGGAGGAGAGAGGAGAAGGCAAAGAAATTCACTTTGGCACTGGGTCGATGTGGATTAGTTCCAAGCCACGCGGCGATGGGTGGCGTGGAGACTGGTGGACAAGATTCGTCCTTTGGTGGCGAAGATTGTTCTGCTAAATATTGTGTTCTACATCACAACACATTGGACATATGTAACACTCCTTGTTTATCATTTTTTGCATATACCAGCGTACACTTACCATTCACAGACACTATTTGGAATGGATATGGACTGTCAGATAAGTATATCATTATCCAATGAATTGCTATGCATATGTTTCCGATATACAATCATAGCATCTTAGGTCTCCCACTGACGTGTCGACGAGTAGTTCAAGTTGATACCGATTACATGAAGTCTCCCGGCACCGTCGATTCATTAATTTCGGGGGTGATGGGATCATGTATGCACGTAAACGCCGAGCATCTCGTCAACAAGCTCGTTGAGCGCTGTTTTCTAGTAATGGCCCACAGGAACAATACCGTTTCTGGTGACAGTTGAGTCTTCGAGCACTCGTTTCGGTGCTATTGAAATCCTCACGCGTGAACGTAAAGACAGGAGCCTTATGTATACACCGAAGTCGCGTCCCTTGAGGTCACTTCTTGCAAATTTCTTTGACATTAATTACTCAGACGCTGATTTGTGCGCCCAGAGCCGCAGCTTTGCCAATCTGTCAGAGCATGGGAGACTATGTCGACACCCAGTGTTCGATTTTCAAGATAACGTACCTATGCTTATTGCCAAGTGCTTCCCATCTTAGATTGATAGAATTTGGATAAACTTCGCTTGTGCATTTGAAGGACAGGAGAAGACAGGCTGTCAGTCGGCGAGTTGATACATGTGGTCTCAGTTGATCCAAAAAATCTGATATCAGACAATAGGTCCGCAGTCGCATCCACCCTTGTCATTGAATGGGCCGAATATCAACTCGCATATCTCTTATCAGAGCACCGGGACGCAACCCCACAAGGTTCTTGCACCCTGACGTGACCTTCCTGATGAACATTTCGTGGCCTTCTCATCTCTGATCACATGGAAGATACTTTTAATAATACCTCGACCTTGATATTCGATGGCGAATCTGGGGATAGTTATCTTTGCATTTAAATGTGAGTAATAAAGTTCTGGTCCAGCGGTAATAGCCAAGGGTCTTCCACGTGAATTCCTACTAGAGGTTACTTGGCCCACACTTCCCATGTCCCTCAAGCGCGTTTTGGGGTTTGTCACTTGCACAAAGATAGACAAAATTCCCTGTGCTCGGTTTTTGTCGGTGGCTTTCGGTGTGCCCGGGCTGCAATGACTGTGCTGGTGCAAAGTTCCCCACGCGAGCGAGCCCTTTCACCGGAACTCCTTCTGTTCCTTTCGTCGGAGCTGTAGTCCCCATCTGTACAGCGCTTGTATCAGCCCCTTTCCTTGATGGGCTCTCTAAGCTGGATCCAGAGCGCCGCGGTCAACTAAGCCCTCGTGCTGTAGCACGACTCGCTCGGCAGTAACTGGTCGCCCATTTATTTCCAGATACTATGCCTGAAAAGGCCCTCAAGAACTTTGAACACGGCGGCAGCTGCGGATTGATCTCGTACGCCACTGCTCGTTTACTCTTTTGCTTCCGATTATGATTCCGGTTCAAATGTGCACCTCGAACGCAACTCTACCCGCCGGGAGCCCACTTGGCTGTGGCACATGTGCCAGATGGCAACGGGTTCACACTGGAACGGGTGATCTTGCGTAGCCATAGTCGTTGCAGGCAGACTTGTCTTATTTCTGTCTAGTTGCTCCATACCGATGATTTTTCTGCGAGAAGGAATCGCTGGCCCTTTTTTCGATTAATTCTTCCCTGCTTTGCAGGCATGCGATACTCTTGATAAAATTCGGCGCCGACTAGCTAAGCAGTCGGTGCCGTACATGCCAATGGAGCGTGTTTGTACGGCGGCCTCGCTTTTCTTCTCAGATTACGCGTCGATCGACTACTTTGTGCGTTCTTCATAATCGTGTACCTAAAGTTCTCGGAATACACGTCAAAAAACTGCTTCTTTCGTCGTCGTGAGCCCTCTTATTTTTCTCGTGTCTCCGGATAATATTTCTCTCCATGTGTCTCTGGAGCAGGTTTATAGCCCATCGCACGCCATGATAATGAAAAGTCCCTAAGTTTACGATTTATTGTGGCTATGATAGCGGCAACGAAAATCCTCCACATTGCGCGTGAGGAAAAAGACTGCGCTAAAAGGCTACTAATTCTTGCTTCTATGTTCTGAGCCAAACGGCAAGGAATAATGATTCGATGCGAGGACAGACTGTAGTTCTGAGATTACGGTCCTCTACAATGTTGAATAGTCGACCTCCAAAGCAAGCAACTTTGTACACCACCCTGCAATAGTCTCGAATGATTGGCCACAATTGCTCCCAACGATTTGATCTGTTCGCACATGGCACCAATATTAATGCCTCCATAGATTCCCCCCGTGAGATCGAGATGAAGCAACCGATAGTGAATCGGTGAGAACAAAAATGTGCCTAGACAAAAATATTGAAGGATAAATATGGAACTAGTTGATTGGGTCCGGTACACATCGTAGATTACCTGGGTCGTTATGTGAAATCGCCCTTGAACGTTAACTTTGCAGTAGAAACTCCTTACCTCCACACCACGTCAAAATAACCAAATCATATATTTGGAGGACGACGGGACTTGATAGCCGCAATTTCAATATCTTTGACGCGACTGCTGCGCTCAGACCTGGAAAGACATTGAGCGTAACAGAAAACGAACAGTCATGGGTAGAATTCCTACTGTAGCAACCTTTCCTGCAGATGCGCATTCGCTTGCGCCAACCGCGCATTTTCACTCTGAAGACCCGCATTCTCTGCTGTCAAACGTACATTTTCACTCTCCACTTCCGCCTTCGCAGCCTTTACGTCCTCGAGGTACTTCGCCTTGAATTTATTGCTTTGATCCAGCGCACTAAGCTTCTTCTCCATTTTGCGAATATGTGACGGCGACTGTAAGGCCTCCAGTGCTTCTAGATGCGAAGCAATGCTTTCGCCGGTAGTTTGGTTAACAATAAAAGGGTTGGAAGAGGTGCGTTCGAGGGTTTTAGAGGTGCGTGCGGGGACGTCGGAGGCACGTTCGAGGGTGCTGCTTCCGCTCTCAAAGGGACCGGGGATGCGAGCATTCGCGCCTGGAGTCTATACAAAGTCCAATCAGTCTCTCTACAACAGCCGATTCCAGACCAACCGTTTGCTCCCCGCCGCTATTTTCGCGCTCCTTGCCTTTGTTCCTAGTCGGAGTTTGTGGGTAATCTGTTTGGAATATGCCCTGGCCAGAATTGTCGCCGCGGCGGCGTATTGTCTGAGGTGGAGTCGGTGGAAATGGGATTTGGACACCAGATCGCTGCTCCACGGGTGTAATTCTGGGTTTCTTTGGTGTCCTCTGGTCTAGATTTTCAAAACTCTGGTCCGCACTCCTAGATGGGCTGCTTTGTTCTGGGTCGTCTTCTGACGATATCCCGTCCCAATCTCCGATCGTCGAGGACAGAGAGGATTGGGAACCAAAAAGAAATGAGCGCGTATGATAATTCAAACCACTTGCGTTTTGCTGGGGGCTGTCATGTTGTGGCGTTGAAGGGGCCTGAGGCCCCGGTTCATTTAAGGCGGCCGCTATGTCTGCTATCCTCTTCCTAGGGCTTCTGTGGGGTGTGCTCAATGCTCGAGCCGACTCGGCTCTCTGCCTTTGAGAAGGAGGCGGCCTCGGCGGCGTAGGCGCAGGCGCAGTTGCAGGTACAGAGTGAGGTACAGGAATATTCTGTTGTTGGGAAAAAATAGGGTCATCTGCCCAATCTGAGGACTTTCGTTTCAGCTACTTCCGCGTGCACTAGGAGAGGTCCTCACAAAAGAATTTACATCTTTCACTCTGGATTGATCTCGAGCAAGTGTAGAACTCACTGGGCGGCGAATGTGAAACGCCCAAACTTAAAAACCGTTTTGAACATACCGATTGGGATTTAAAGATGTTTGACTAGTCCTTGTCATTGCAGTTTCACCATGTGAGCAACGTACTACACCATTCGCGTCCATAGGACTCGTCGACTGCGTATGCGGTTGGCTGGAGGACATGATGATGGTTTGAGTTGAATTCGAACGTCCCCTATGCGTTATTAATAATACATATCAGGTGACTCATTTGAATTTTGATAAGGGCTTGGCTGTAACTCTCCTCAACTCGTGCTTGTCGCGTTGCGGGCTTGTTCACTGTATCGGATAACGTTCATGATGGCGGCCACGTCTCAATCGCAAGGGAATGCTTCCTTGATTTCTGTTACCTCAAAATATGTCGCGCCGTCGGATCCATCCTTGCCTGCCCTGGCCTTGCAAATTACTAGCCTTGTGGGCTCATACATGATTTGGGTTGGTGTTACGAATCAACCACCAGAGTCTGTGCAGAACGCAGCCTGCTCTGGTGTGCTTTGCAGAGATTGGGCATGTGCTATGCCCGCACCACCCGGTCATGCAGTGAGTAAATGATGTTGAATAGCCAATTATACACCAACAATAGCCTGAGCGAGTTCTGGAAGGGCTTTGGACCTGCAACTTCCCTGTTCCGATCATCAAGTTCTGATGTATCTTTCTCGATGGCGCAGCGTCTTGGTAAGTGAAACCCATTTTCTTTGTTCCGTTCGGATTGCCGTGCACGTTGCTGATATATATTCGACTGATTCTAGCACGGAGGTTTCATCGACAGATATTCTTATCGGTTGATGTGCCTGCTACCCTGTTATCAACACCACGGGGATCACATCTGTTGTTTGATGCAGAGAAAGGCATAGTTACTGCCCTCAACAACCTTGGAGATGAGCACGGCCAAGAGGTATCATAATTTTTGCCCTATTACAGTTTCCATCTTTGTGGCCCCAACCAATTTGCTGTGCAGAGCATGTGTGAGGGGGCATGTCATAATGTGGGTGGCGGATTTCATCTGGGTGCCGTATAATACAAATCATGCTGTCAAATGTCGTTGGTGAGTACTGATCTCGCCACGGAGGTAACCCCTGGCCACGTGTTGTAGTGGGTCTAGAGGCCACTTGGATAAAACTCGTGTTGGCACAAAGTTGGCACAGTAGCAATTTTTTATGAATGAAAAGTAAAATTGATTTGGGATCCGTTGTTGCGGCCTAAGATCGATTAGCCGACCCTTAACCCCTCACATAGTAGAACCGTGTGGCAACTTGGCGCTATTAGACTCATTTGTGGCCTGGGACTAACTGGTTCCATTTATTTCTTGTCCTTGCCGTACTTGCCGTTGACGACGACGACAACGAAACAACTAAACGGCCTACTATTATTTTCTGACTTGCGAGGAGAGCAGCCGCATACTAACTGTTTCCTCATAGACAGAGCATGTCGGAACCCGAACTTGCCTACATGACCAACACCAACGAAGACTTTGATCTCCCTCGCTGGCAAACTCACGCTCATCTGGAACCGTTGTCTTCATCTGCACAGGCTGCTCAGTCTGCTGCTAGAGCATCTTATCTTTATCCTAGTGCACCGCCTCCACCACCACCGCAGTCTCTCACAACCGCCGGTCAGAGATTGCCGCCCTTACATCAATCTCCTGGCTCATCCAGGCAGCCTCGTCTGGCTCAAATCCTTGACCACGATCAACCAACGGGCGTTACATCTTCATCTTTCCTTTCTACAGGTTTAAACCAGCTTTCGAGGAGTGCGTCATTAGGTGGTGGTAGTGGAGCTGGTAACGGATCTTCCAGGGCTCGTCGTCACCATCAACCAGAAGATCTCGAGGGCGCTTTCAACCTTGACGCCCAAAACGTTCCTAGTTCGAGACACATGGCTGCAACACCAAATTCCCTCTACCCATCCAGCATTGCTTTCCACCAATCTCAAACAGGTCCCCCTCCCCCCAACAATAGCGCATCTCCCACAGGTGTATCCAGCGAACCATATTCAGAAATGTATTATAATGGTTCCAGTGGGAACCTTCCAAAGCGAGCTCTTACACAGCATGATCCTACCTCCCGCTCTGGACGTTCACCAATGCGTGCGGGTAACTCACTCCTGGATCCATACTCTCAACAAGCCCAGTACTCACCATCTACCACCCCTTACCTCTACGCTTCATCGTCTGAGAGGCCCAACACTTCATCTGCCTATCATTCCCATGCCCGCAACACTTCTCAGACCAAGGTTGAAAGCTCGACGCCACCACTATCATCCCCGTACACTCCGCAGAGTGCTGCGCAGGCTGCTTATGCTGCGTATGCGATGGACTCCTCCAGTCCCGCACCACACCAAAATCAGAGTCATCTATCCAGCCAAGCACCTATCAAAAGTTCCATCTCTACCCCAAACACCCCTCTCTCATTTACTCACCCGCAGAGTCCGGCCAATCAGTACTACCAAGACCAACCCATGGTCGTTGATCAGCCGCATCGACGCCGAGCTTCTGGTTTCAGAAGGATCCGTGATACGCGCGATCTCAGACCTTACGTAAATCCTCAGCCTTCGGGTAGACGAATGGATGCCAACGGGGTATTTTTATCGGTGCGTGTGGTTTCAATTTGATCGCGGTCGAGCTCTGACATCAAGTGACATAGCCATTGAGGCAATTGACTACCAACATCCTCGAGACATATCATATCTGCAACCCGCAGTTCAGATACGAATCTGCGCACAATCCACGGAGGGTGCTCACCAAGCCGAGTAAGCCTGCCCACAACGAAGGTTACGACAACGAAGATTACGATTATATTCTCTATGTCAATGATTGGCTGGGAAACGAGGATGGTCACAAGTGCGTTGATGCTACATGCTCTCAATGGTATACTGAACTGTTTGCAGTCGATATCTCATTCTGGATATTCTTGGTCAAGGAACCTTTGGTCAGGTGGTGAAATGTCAGAACATGAAGACCCACGAGATTGTGGCAGTGAAAGTGGTGAAAAATAAGCCTGCATACTTCAACCAGAGTATGATGGAAGTCACGATCCTGGAGCTGGTACGTTTCTCTACGAATCATGACGAATTGATGTTCACATTGATTCCCGTAGCTCAACAATTCATGCGATCCACACGATGAGCATCATATATTGCGACTTCGCGACTCGTTCATTCATCGAAATCATTTATGCCTTGTATTTGAACTCCTCTCATCTAACCTCTATGAGCTGATCAAGCAAAACCAATTCCAAGGGCTGAGCACGCAACTTGTGAAAGTGTTTACTGCTCAGCTGTTAGATGCTTTGACTGTGCTCAAGGATGCACGCTTGATCCACTGTGACCTGAAACCTGAAAACATCTTGCTCAAATCGTAATTTCTCATTTCTTTTCCCACACATTTTTCATACTCAATCCGTTTACCAGGCTCCAATCGCCTCAAATCAAGGTTATTGATTTTGGATCAGCGTGTCATGAACGACAGACCGTGTACACGTATATCCAGTCGCGATTTTATCGGTCGCCAGAAGTCATCCTCGGAATTCCTTATACATCTTCGATTGACATGTGGTCGTTGGGTTGCATTGCTGTGGAGCTCTTCTTGGGGCTACCGCTCTTCCCCGGCACGAGTGAGTATAATCAGATTACCCGGATCGTCGAAATGCTTGGGTGCGTATTTCGTCTCACTGGTTGGATTACAAACATCTATTGATACACTAGTCTTTGATCACAGGATGCCTCCAACATACATGCTGGACATTGGAAAGCAGACAAAGCAGTTTTTCGATTCCTACGTAGATGTGTATGGCCAGAAGAAGTACCGCCTCAAAACCTTGGAGCAGTACTCCCGGGAGCACAACACCAAGGAACAGCCAGGGAAGCATTACTTCAAGGCGAACACGCTTCCGGATATCGTTAACACTGCGCCGATGCCGACGTTCAAGTCATCGTCTCGGCAGGGGCACGAAGTGGAAAAAGGTAAGATTAAGTGTTCTCGGCGTTTGCCTGACTTGTTCTCACGTGGCCTGGCAGAATTAAACAATCGAGCGTCGTTCATCGACTTCTGCCAGGGTCTACTCAACCTGAACCCTATAGAACGATGGTCACCCCAGCAGGCTAGGATGCACCCTTTTATCACCGGTGAAAAGTTCACTAAGCCTTTCCAAGTTCGTCATCTTGTCCATCGATCTTCTTGAAAATTTTTACTGACAGATCATTACAGCCCAATGGACACACCGCTACCCAGATTACACAGTTGTCGTCCGCGCCAGGTAATGCAGACCCGAAGCGGCCGTACGGTGGTCTTGTTCCCCAGCAGCCAAAAGGCACCAGAGCATTCCAGGACGCGGCGTCATACAACCAGCAGCTTGCCCAACATCAAGCTTACACTGCGCAGGCGCAAGCCGCATCTCAGGCGGCCAACAATGTATTCCGCAACCCGTACATCACGCAGCAGCAGCAGCAGCCTGCTTCTCAGACACAGCAGCCTCAGCAGCAGCTACCTCCTCCGCCAGTGGCCTATCAGCCACCACAGGATGCATCTGCGCCGTCGTCATTCCCGGCTCAACAGCAGCAGCAGCAGCACACCTTCTCGTCATCCCAGCCTGGGCAGCTTAGTGGGCTCAACCCTTCTGGCGCTGGCTACTCGCAGGGGGCAGGAATCAGCGTGACTGGGATGCTCAACCCCAACCCACCCGTTGCCTCACACTACCCCCCACCCCATGCACGCGCACGGGCCAATACTATCAACCATAGCGATATGATTCCTCCTGCGCTGGCGCGGTTGCAGCATATGAACCAAGATGTGATAGCCGGACGAAACGCACTGACACCTGTGCTCAACCGGGATGACGCTATGCGCGAATGGGAAAGGCGGCAAGCGGGAAAGCCGAGCGCGGCGCAGCCGTACCCCCAGCTCGAATATCTGCAACAACAAGCTGAGCTTGCTGCCGCAAACGGCATGTCCGGGTGGGGTGTATCCACCCGTTACCCGCCGCCGCCTTCCAAGCTATCGCACTCATACCAGCCCACGATTATAGTGGATGACGATCGAAGGGAGGCTGTCATGTCGAATGTCCGGACTGCTGCACGCAGCGATACGAGCGCGAGCGGGTACAATCCCAACGCTATGGTGACTAGCCCGACACAGGCATATGCAGGGAACGCGGCTGGTACCGGCGCGCGGTTCCCCGCAGCATTCCCTTCACAACAGCAAGCCCCGAATCCACCTTTTGACCCGCTGACTCAGCGGACAGATATCGGGGCGCTTTATGTTCCGATGCAGCCTGAGCAATATCAGTCTTATGGTGGAGGTAGTACGGCTCAGGGACCTGGTATGTCGTCCTCAAGGCAAGCTACTCAGACGTCGCAACCGGGTCCACAATCCTTCTATGGGCCAAGTGTGGCTTCGGCCGTGCAAGCTCCGCCGCAGGCAGCTCAACGGAACCCGTTCAATGCGAGTGATGCACCGCAACAGCCAAAGGAGGCGAGAAGACTGAGTGGGATGGATATTTGGTCGCGATAAATGTTGGTTAATAATGTGATCCCCCTCTTCATTCTGTGCGATGGCTTCCACTCAATTTTGACCGGTGCTAGTACGATGTGCTTCCAACCAATTTTTGTGCTTTTTTTCTCAGGCATTCTTGCAACTCTGCCCCATTTACCAAGACATCTTCTATATGTTTTCAGTCTCGCATCATCCAATATTCAGGGCATTTATCATTTTTTTGTCACTGGTTTGGCAACGTTACGCAAAACCTCCGATGGATTTGACATGCTATGCTGCAGTACAACACGTACAGTTCGTCATATCCATCAAGGAACTCGAAATACGAAGCTTCGGTCACTCAGTGGGGCCCGCTGATAACAAATTGAGTTTGCCACAGAAGGCAGCAGAAAAATGGGTATTCGTGGACTATGCCGTGGTTTGGAAGGTTTGGATTGACGGTTCCTAGATCATGTCCCTCGCTACGCTATCGCTAGCAATATTAACGCTTTTTTGAAGTTTGAACCCTACACTAGTGTCACCTCTTGCTCCGGCAGCCGGATAAGTAAGTCCACAAAGTCCTCGGTGTTGTATGCGCTTACTATGTTTCTCCCGGAGTGATGTGGATAGAGGTTATCGTGAAAGTGATCCCTGAAACCGCAAATGTACCTCATGTACACTGTACGAGTGTCAAGATGTTTTGAGCGCGCTCTGCGTATTTTTTTTCTGGTTACCTTCTCAAGATGGAATAATCCTGTAAAGCCTTTGTAAAGGCCAGCCGTGACGTCAGTGATGCTACTTGAAACGGTGAAGATTTAATTTACAGCTCGGTGGTACTGTGGGCGAGACTAGGCTAGACTCAGGCCTTCTAGTTTGCGCCACTCAGGGCCGACTGGAGGTCGTGCGCTTGTGGATGGGGACTACCAGTCTTTTCTCCAAATATGTTAGTTACATTACGACTTTTTATCCGTCTTCAATGAAGCTGCACAGAAAGTAGATATATGTAACCTATTGCTGTCGCCGCGTGCTTAACACGACCGCGGCAGTTATCCGTAGCAAACTTGGCACGTCCTGCTCATCTCCGTCATGTCCTCGTGCAGAGAGCGGTCCGTACAACAGAGCAGCATACGACGCTGCGTATCCTTCCTCTAAATCGCAATATTTGTACTTCTCGATGAATTCTGACCGTACCCTTCTACACTGGCTCTATAAGATACATGATTCAGTTAATGCCTCCTCAACTGATAGCCTGATTTTACTTGATGTATTGAGTTAATTATCTTGCCAGCTGAGCTGTGGTGTTCGGCGTCTTGCTAGCATGGGGCTTCCGACAACTTATGAAAATCTGCCAGCGCAACGAAGCTGCCGGCTGCCGGTCCTTCCGTTTCGCTGTACACAGCCTGACCTTGGCCTTAATGCTGAGTTCTGACGACCTCCCGGCAGATCATCTTGCACAATCCTTGGCATTGTCTTGGACAGTTTCTTTAACCGCCGCATGGATGAATCTTCTGTCATCGACTTCTTATTCAACGCCGCTACCTACGTACGTTATGATGCCGCCAGGACGCCCTTGGATAATTTATCATGCATTCTGTTGTTCTGTAGCCAACCAGATTCCACCGCTAACCTGTGTATTCATTTTATTTGCGAACCCCGGATGAGTTCGAGATCAAGGGATCAAGCGCGGTACTGAAAGATGCGATCAGCGTTCATGAATTTTGCTGAAGAACGGGACTGGACTGGACATCGGCGGCGAGTCCGCGTACTTATCGACGGAGACCTATCGAATACAGATGGTCGTTCCTTCATCTTAGGGTAGAGGAGTGACTTCGCCAGGATCGGGGTAATTACGGGCGAAGTGAAGACAAGTTCGGGCATAAAGTGGTTGAACGAAACATATTCCTCAGATCCCGAATTGCCCTTTGTACAGAGCCATACTAAGTGACAGGCGAAGTTGGTATATGCTCAGATCCTACAACAGCTTTGATTTTTACTTGTGCTCGCCGTCCCCCGGATGAAGTTCTGAATTGATCATAACTGTGTTTTGGACGGACCAACATATGCAGGAGTAGCAGCAACTTTGATCGATCGATCGCTGCTTCTTCTTTATTTGTTATACTCAGCCCCCAGTTGAGGAGAGTTGAGGTTACCCAAATGATCTGGTGATTCGTAAACTATGAGTTTGACTGGGACCCCCATACCCTGTGATGAGAAATCATTGGCCGCTGAATCAAAACAAGCGATGGTCAGGTTTTCGACACTGAAAACTATTCAACAGAGTCCTTGAGGGGTATACGATAGAGCTGTGGAGTTTCAAGCAGCCTTTTAACGAGTCGCTGATTCCTGAGCGCTGAGCTTTGGCTATCGATACGTCAGCATCGATTGGTATCATTGCTACGAGAACCGACCTAGAAGCTGTGGAACCAGAATTCCTTGCCGTAATGAAAGATGTCCAACTGTAAAATATCTATTGACCGACTGGCGGCGCCCGTACTATATTGGTGACCAGCTGAAGTTTCTTCTCTCGCGAAGGACACAACTTCGAAGATGATGAGCATCTACTAGATTAAGAACTTCCACCCTTCGACTCCATCATGATAATTTGCGTCAACGTTAAACGCTTGTAGCTGGTGAAGCTACTCACCTGAACCATGTGCATGAACTACCGTTGACGCCGTCACTGTTTACTATTGGCCTGCCAGGTTCATGGCAACCTACTTATAGTAAGCGAGCTGTCACGTATTATTATCATCACCAGCCGTGTCTACCCAATTTGTTCCGTACTCATCGTCCAGCACAGTGCAGAAGTGTTGTCTGCCTCCATTATTTAAGTATTGTCTAGTGTCTCTTGACTCATAGAAATGCTATCGAAACAAATTATCGCTGTCGCTCGCAGTCGTGCATTTTTCGCTGGCAGAGGTGCTCAATACCCTGCTGTATCATTGTCGAAAGGATGGTGCGTGTTCTCCTGAGTTTTTTTCTCTGCTGTTAACATCGCTGACGAACGGCCGCTTTCTTGTATGTACAGGAAAATCGCCGACACGCATATCAGACGTGCACAGCTCCATTCCAAGACCGTAAAGGTCCCACAGATGGCCGAGTCCATCTCCGAGGGTACACTCCGATCATGGTCAAAACAGGTTGGGGACACCGTCGAGGCTGATGAGGAGGTTGCAACCATTGAGACGGATAAGGTGGGTATCAGCTTGTTGACGCCTCTGAAAACACTAATCCTCCCTCACGCCAGATTGACGTCAGTGTCAATGCACCTTCAGCAGGGAAAATTGTGGAGTTGCTTGCAAAGGAGGAAGACACCGTCAGCGTCGGCCAGGACCTCTTCATAATTGAACCTGGCGAAGGTGGTGGTAAGCCTCGTGTAACTTACGTGATACATCAAATTTTCATATGGCTCTAGCATCTGCTGCTCCTGAGGAGTCGAAGGCAGACCCTGAAGAACCTAGGGACCAGCAACTGGACAAGACGACACCAGAGCCACGCGCACCATCAGCTGCTGACAAGCAGAGCGCCCCAGAAGGACCCAAAGAGTCCAAGAAGGAGGTGAAGAAGCAGGATTCAAAGCCAAAAGAGGACAAGTCTAAAGCACCTATTTCTCCGCCCAAGGCCCCCGGAAATCGGGGCGAGACAAGGGTACGCAGCATTACTATGCCTGTTTTGGTAGTGTTGACGCGCCTCGTCCTTTAGGTTAAGATGAACCGAATGCGCCTGCGCATTGCCGAGCGTTTGAAGGAATCGCAAAACGCTGCCGCTTCGCTCACGACCTTCAATGAGATTGACATGTCCTCTCTCATGGAAATGCGGAAGAAGTACAAGGACGAAGTGCTCAAAGAACATGATGTCAAGCTCGGCTTTATGAGCGCGTTCGCTCGTGCGTGCACTCTGGCACTGAAGGAGATTCCTGCTGCAAATGCGGTCCATCGAGGGTGACGAGATTGTCTACCATGATTTCGTTGACCTGAGCGTCGCTGTCGCGACGCCCAAGGGCTTGGTCACTCCAGTAGTGCGGAATGTTGAGGACATGGGCTTTGTTCAGATCGAGAAGGAGATTGCTGCTCTCGGAAACAAGGCAAGCGCTGTATAGATTGCATTCTCCTGGAGCTTACCTATTGTCTTCAGGCCAGGGATGGTAAGTTGACTCTCGAGGACATGGCAGGAGGCACCTTCACCATGTGAGCTTCTTTGATTCTCAATATAAACCAAATACTAATTTCGTGCGCTTAGTTCCAATGGTGGTGTCTTTGGCTCGTTGTACGGAACGCCCATCATCAACCTGCCACAGTCTGCTGTGCTCGGCATGCACGCGATCAAGGACAAACCTGTCGTTGTAAACGGCCAGATCGTCATCCGACCCATCATGGTCGTCGCCCTCACCTATGACCACAGACTACTCGATGGTCGGGAGGCAGTCACCTTCCTAGGTGAGTACTCTCCATCGTTCCATCTCACGTGACCGTTATCTGACGCGTTGATGCGCCATTTATAGTGAAGGTCCGCGACTACATTGAGGACCCTCGGAAAATGCTTCTTGCATTGAGCTGAGCTTTCCTTGGCGATTATTTCATGCTCTTATTTATTCCATCCGTGATGTACTACATTGAACACCAGGCCATAATTGGACTCCTTCATCCACAAGCGATCACTAATATTCCAGCCTCCGGATGAGGCTCTGATAATTCGCAGAAAGTTAACGAGTTATGTGCCTTTGTTTATTGATTCCCTTACACTGCTATATTCGCTTGTATTTATTGTCAACGTTGTTAACCATAATACAGCAAATACTTGGTTACAGCTTGCACGAAGCAAACCGAAGTTAAATCATTGAGCTCTAATGCGTGGGTGACAGGCTCATTGTCCCAGTCTCAGACAGTTCTGCGCGGCCTAAATTTGAGCAGCAATTGGTGTAGTTTCGATGACCTAGGGGTGTCCAATTTGAGCTGGTTATCACTGTTGATTCGAAATCCATCTAGCACGTGCCTCCTGGATGTGCCGATATGTAACACAGCAGTGTCGAGCCTCGGAGGGGGGACGAGTAGTAAGGGTGGTGTAAGAGGGGAAGTAGAGGGAGGAGGTTGAGTTGATGGGCGGGGATTGGGAACAGGCCTCACATGTGAGGTATCGACAAGCTCTTCTGTGAGAAGCATAGCTGCTGGAGCCGACGGTCCCTCTGGTCGACATCCAGAGGTAGACGCGGGTGCCGAAGCTTTCCTTATCGAGTGTATCAAGATACCACTCTCGATGTCACTCTTGTACGTACTACGACTCATCATTTTCTTTTACATACGCAATCACTCTTTGTTACACCTCATACACGAACACCTTTGATTCTCCCGGGTCTCAATTAGCGTATTGATTGCTCTCCCCGTCGAATATTCTCCCTCAGATTTTCGATACAAAACCGAGGTGTTCTCTTATTCACAGATTTTCCTGAATATTGCCCTACTTAGTTCCGTTCCTGTTCCTAGGTATGGTCCATAGCGAATTTAGCCTTTTCATCCAAGACTGGGTCCCATTCCGGGTCACAGTCCGAGCCTCTCGATTCGTCAGAGAGTGGTGGAAATCAGGATCGATGGCTGACAGCCCTTGATTATGCTGTGCGTTAACGGGATCAAACTGAGCAGGAGACAGAATTACAATTGTTAAGCAGGTGGATCGAGAGTTATCAGAAAAATACATACCTTTGCAAGTTTCTGCCCTTCCGATAAAATACCAAGGCAAGGCAGCAGACCCTTCAAACACCACTCCATTTCCAGCCAGGATATAATATGATCATTCCAAAAAGCCTGGAATATGTGATTGAGCGTGTCATCCCATGGACGGGGAGCACGTGAAAGATGTACGGCCCAGTTGTGACAGGCGTACTTCAGAGCATCGGAAGCTGTTCGACTGCGTTCCAGAGCCTCGTTTGCGAGACTCTTGAAGGCATTCATAGCATGAATTATCTCCCTGTCTGGTAAAAGAAGACTTTCTGGGAATGCAGAAGTGGAATGATGCTGGTGTCTTAATGCGAGGAAAACCGGAAACATCAAGAAATCTGGCAAGGTCTTGAACTGCTCGATTACTTGAAAAGCTGGCAGTAAATGCGCATCACTGATAATGATATACTTCTTGATTGCTTCTGATGTCCTCGAGAATTCTTCCATTGTCACCCAGACGGAGGCCGCAGGAGTGGACTGCCACGCTTGACCATGGGGAGTCTGTAGCCAATCTCGTCCTGCCTGGGTCTGCAGCCAGTCTCGTCCTGCCTGGGTCTGCAGCCAGTCTCGTCCTGCCTGGGTCTGCAGCCAGTCTCGTCCTGCCTGGGTCTGCAGCCAGTCTCGTCCTGCCTGGGTCTGCAGCCAGTCTCGTCCTGCATGGGTCTGCAGCCAGTCTCCTGCCTGGCTCTGCAGCCACTCTCGTCCTGCCTGGCTCTGCAGCCACTCTCGTCCTGCCTGGCTCTGCAGCCACTCTCGTCCTCCCTGGGTCTGCAGCCAGTCTCGTCCTCCCTGGGTCTGCAGCCAGTCTCGTCCTGCCTGGGTCTGCAGCCAGTATCGTCCTGTCTGGGTCTGCAGCCAGTATCGTCCTACCTGGGTCTGCAGCCAGTCTCGTCCTGCCTGGGTCTGCAGCCAGTGTCGTACTGCCTGAGTCTGCAGCCAGTATCGTACTGCCTGGGTCTGCAGCCAGTCTCGTCCTGCCTGGGTCTGCAGCCAGTCTCGTCCTGCCTGGGTCTGCAGCCAGTCTCGTCCTGCCTGGGTCTGCAGCCAGTCTCGTCCTGCCTGGGTCCGCAGCCAGTCTCGTCCTGCCTGGGTCTGCAGCCAGTCTCGTCCTCCCTGGGTCTGCAGCCAGTATCGTACTACCTGGGTCTGCAGCCGGTCTCGTACTACCTGGGTCTGCACCCGGTCTCGTTCTGCCTGGTTCTGCAGCCAGTCTCGTCCTGCCTGGGTCTGCAGCCAGTCTCGTACTGCCCGGGTCTGCAGCCAGTCATGCCCACACGGGGTCCGCAGCCAGTCTTGTCCTTCCTCGGTCTGCAGCCAGTCTCGTCCTGCCTGAGTCTGCAGCCAGTATAGCTGCAGCCAGGCTCCTCCTCTTCGGATCTGCAGCCACTTTCGTCCTGCCAGCATACACAGCAGATATCGATCATCCTGGGTCTGCACCCAGTCGTGCCCACATGGGGTCCCCCGCCAGTCTTGTCCTCCATGGGTCTGCAGCCAGTTTTGTCCTTCCCCGGTCCGCAGCCACTCTCGTCCTTCCTCGGTCCAAAGCGACTCTCCTTCCCAGGTCTGCAGCCACTCTCGCCCTTCCCAGGTCTGCAGCCACTCTCGTCCTCCCTGGGTCTGCAGCCAGGCATGCCCGTCCACAGTCCCCAGCCAAGATTTTAAATTTGAAGTGCGATCTCCTCGAAGCCACAGCATACAGATGACAGATGACAGTGGCTCTGGTGGCTGAACAAGGAACGCTAATGAGTCTTTTAACCTATGAGGATCCTCAGGTGGCATAGCTTTGCTTTGCTTCTTCAATTCTGAGAGTGCAACCAAGAGACCCGCGCTTTTTGGAATCGCTTCCATCAAGCGGAGAGAGGAATAAGCGAGTAGGGCGTGAGGTGATGGCATATTGTGTTCGCGTACTTGAAGGAGGCCGCAGTTTGAGGGGTCGGAAACGTAGTCGCGAACGGATGCGTGATATATATTCACGGGGAGGCTGGTGTCGGTAGGAATATCTATGACAGACCGTAGTTGCACTAGCGTCGTTTCGGTATCACAGCCCTGACCAGGGCCAAGAAGTTTGAGATTTGTGACAGCGGCAGAGGGTCCGCAAGTGCAGCGACAATGGACAAGTGAAGGTATGCCTGCTTGGGATCGGCACATGTGGAGAGGATACAATCGTATAACTTGTACACCTCCGTTCCTGCTAGCAGCTCGCTCGTCAGTTCGAGCATCAGCTGTAACCGATCGCGGGGATCCTTGTATCCATCGTCGACAATAAACTTCATCATCGTAGACGCCACAATGAAACGTCTGCCCGCTCGCCTCGCCAGCTTCGCAAGGTCACCCCCAGATGGCTGCGGGAAATCGGGATGACGGCATTGCAGCTTTCCGAATGAATGCTGCAGAAATATATAGATGTCGTTGTCGACATCGACACCGTCTAGCGAGATGGTGGTAGCAACACCCTCCCCAGAAGTTTTCACTGGTATCTCGCACACCAGCGGGCGCACCTCTTCGTTCTGAAAGGCTTTACAAATATGCGATTCCGAGCGACTCGTGAGCAGAATGTGGGTCGCGGGAAGATCAGGCTCACGAAGAGCCCGTGCAAGGGAAAGGATGAGATCGGTAAGCTCGGGTTCAGACGTGCATTCATCAAGCGCATCGACAACAAACGACAAAGGCGGACATCCGCGCAATCTGAGTTGAAGTTTCCGGAGGGGTTGGAGAAAGAGAGACTCCATCTGGTCGCGGAGAGGTGTGTCTGGGTCTAGTAGGGCAGGATTGTTGCGGATGGCTCTGTTCACATCCTGCCGGATACTTGGAAAGTTGGTGGCAAGTTGGTAAACAAGCGTCGTAAAGAAATATCGAGCTGTGCAGCGGTTTGTGTGCTTGCGCGAGAAAAAGAATGTTCCCGCTAGCCGCATTTCGACGTTCGTCTCTTCTGTCACTTTTAGACCTCTCATCTTTTCAGCAACTGTAAACGCGACGGCAGACTTTCCGACACCAGCCGTGCCATGCAGCCAAATGAGTTGATTCTTCTTTGGATCGTCTAGTAATTCGTGGATATATGTGAGAAGATCAACCCGAGTCCCATCCAAACATTTCGGGTGGGGCTGACGTTCAGGGGAGTTATATTGAGCACCCTTGACAGCGACCTGGGCCAGTCTCGCCCAGGTTTCTTCGAGAACTGTCAAAGAGGTTAGAGAGCATGCGAGAGATAAGAGATGGAAGTACTGACATCGATTGTCGCTCATTGATGAAAGTTGTGATATGCGGCGAGATGCGATGAACGAACTGAAAGTACTAGCTGGGTTCGAGGGTGTGTTTAGAAATAATCTGAGCTGTAGTTTTCTGGAGGGACGACGTACCAAGATTTGAATTGAAGCTTGTCAGTTGTGATACGACTTGGGTCGCGGAACGATCAAGCTGCCAGAGTGCGAGGCGTGATGAAGATGGGATGGACGGATGAATGTTTCAAACTAGTTTGCTCGCTGGATGGTTGTGGAATGCAGTTGAAGCCTGAAGGACGAGTAGGCGCTTGCCGTCCAGTGCTTGCAGGAGGACACGAGGCTGCGGTGCGGCCACACTACCAGTGCACAGCCAGACAGAACCACGTCAGTAGGGCTCAGGCCCAGAGATGAATTAGATATGTGTGCCGTTGTGTGATCCTCTAGATTTCTGTAGTGATCAATTGCATGAGTGTTGTGACTTCTATCGAACAAATGGGAGACTGAAATGCAACGCAAAAAGTTAAAGAGTTCAAATGTGCCTTTGAGCTTATTGATACCCGATATTCGCTTGTATTTATTGTCAACTACAATATGTAGTACCAGCACTATCAAACGCAAGTTAAGTAAAGCATTCATCCGAAAAGGTTCACAGTGCACTGACAGCAGTGCTGTCCAAATATGAATAAAATAATCTCGACGGCGTATTTTATTCTAATCATATTATATTCTCTATCCGCCCCGAGATATTTAATGATAGCGTTATTGTATTCATATTGTATTCATATGGAAACATGGCATAGGGGGTCACGTGCCAAAGGGTCCAACTAAGTTGCAAGCGAAGTTCGAAGTTCGAACATACCTGACTAACGACTGTAAAGCTAGAGGCACAACCGTTATCCTTACCAGCTCGGACTGTAGGTGTGTTGCCCATCAGTGAGCCTTCCAATTGCAACGACCAGGATCCAAGATGCCAAGTAACGACCATAAACTGCCAAGTGCCCGCTCACGAGGTAAGTAACACGACAATAAACTTGAAACTTACAAATTCACCTCGTGGATTTGGTTTGCAGGACCCTCTCTCGCTGTGCGATTCTATTTAATTGCTTTCAATGCATTATCTGCAGCAGGATGGGCCTATGTTATTTACCTCGCTCTTGCCGTATTTAGAGGTCAACGTGCCTCAAGTTCAGCATACGACTTCTTCAAACCACTTGCTTCATACGTGCCGACTTCAATCGTAGCATTTTTAACACCCCAGCCTAAAACAACGAACCTTTTCTCCACCACTCTCGCATATTTCTTACATCCATATGTTCCTGCAACATACAAATCCACGTTCTCCGCCCTTGCACCTGTGCAGTCACTCGCCGCCCTTGAAATATTGCATGTTCTCCTTGGGTTTGTGCGCTCCCCGCTCCCGACAACTGTCGTCCAGGTCTCCTCGCGCCTCACCCTGGTCTGGGGAATCGTCGAGCGCTTTCCCCACACCCACTCGAGCCCGGTCTATACCACTATGATTCTTGCCTGGGCTCTGACCGAAGTGCCACGCTATGCATACTACGCGCTCTCGCTTGCAGGTTGCGGCGTGCCTGCGTGGCTGACATGGATACGCTATTCCACATTTTATGTCCTGTACCCCATCGGCGCAGGAAGTGAGGCCCTGGTCATGTTGAGCACCATTTCTGAGTGGAAGGGCGAAAAGTGGGTAGTGTGGAGCACTGAAGACTGGTTCAAGGCATGTTTGGTAGCAATCTGGGTGCCTGGTGAGTCGTGCATGCTATGTTGCATTTGGTCGCTGACTCCTGGTTCTCGCAGGGCTGTGGGTCATGTATTCGCATATGATGCGCATGCGCCGCAAGGTGCTTGGCGTAGGTAAGGGCCAGAAGTTGGGAGCGAAGCCCAAAGACAGGCTTAAGGCGGAGTGAGATGTGCCATGAACACAAAATATTGCTGACTATTCGCAATACCCTGGAACCATTTACTTTACGATATTATCACGCCCAGAATCGTCCCCACCATTTGTGTAGTGCAACTCGGTATGTGCAATTCATCTGGGGTATCTTCGATCTAGGGTGGGATGCATGTCCTGCGTTCAAGTTGCACGTGCATACAGGTACACAGAGAATTGTGTAGGCAAAGTCAGTCAGTTTTCTCGAAGTTAGCTTAAAGTTCTGGCTAACGAGTCAGCGGTGGCAGCAGCATATTGCGTATCGTATTTGATCCCGCCAACTCAGTGGTGTGAATATCCAATGTCTGGCTTCAGCCAAATGCAGTGTCTTCTTGACTTTTTTTGCATTTTGATTTGGGCTGGAAGGTCAGTTCAGGCTGTTGCGCGCGCTGTTCAATTATGCAGCAGTGGTATATTACCTGTCATATCTGATCCGGCCAACTCATTGAGATGAGTGTCACCTGCCCAATGTCTGGCTTCAGTCGTTGTCCCCACCCTTTCTTTCGTGCAGCATTTTGATCTGGGTCGTCAGATTAGCTTAGGCTGTTATATTACTAGAGCGCGCTGCTAGTCCGAATTGGAATCTATGCCAGTGGGTTTAAAAGACTTGCTTCGCCTTCAGTTCCCATCAGGTTTTCTTCACCCTTTACGTTTTCCGCTACCATGCTTCCCCGTTTGTCCCTTTCCTTTCTCTTCTTGACTGCATGCGTGTTGGGCTCTCCTGTGTATGACATGGTGCTTTATCCCCCAATGTACGTGCGGGATCCCTTTGGAACGTTCAACCACACCCAGGACTTGGTCACCTCGACCGTCGTCCCAGTCTTCGATGTCCAACCTGTGGTGAGCTTCTGGCTCATAGACCCTTCTACAAAACTAACTTGTATGCCCAGATGGCCGAGATAGAAGTCCTCCAAATAAAATACCAGAACGCTCTTATTTTTTTGACTGGCAAGAACCTCGTGGCACTACCAGATGCACTTTCAGATCCCGGGCTCGATGCGCTGTCAGACGCGGCGTTCACCGATACGACGAGCGACCTATCCGGTTTTGTGTTGTTCGGATCAACCACAATATCACAGCAAGCAAACATGAACTTTTCTGCAATGAATGCCACTGCTCAGAGTGCGACGGACCCCCTGATGGACGAGTTACAGAGGACCATCAACGTCCCGTTCTACGGCCCACTCGGATTTGGGAAGAAGTCACAACAGCTCTCAGTGGCCTTTGACACGGGTTTTTCAGATATCTGGATCCCTGTGGGCTGCGACGATTGCATGAACCCGCAATATAACGCCGCTGCGAGTTCAACATACAGGAATACTGGGAATGCGTTCAATGTAAACTACGTGCGTCTCCCTCCCGCTATCTCGGTGCCGGCTTGATGTTGCTGGGCAGCAGGGCCTCAGCTATGCAGAAGGGACTCTTGCGTATGATACGATCAGCATGAGCGGCTTAAAGGTCAACAACCAATACTTTGGTGCTGTCACTGATGTGTCGAGTAACTTCAATGCCGACCCGATCTCTGGCTGTCTCGGGCTCGGTTTCAGCTCCATCGCGACATCAGGGAAGCCAACGTTCTTTGAGAACTTGATTATGCAGGAAAAGGTCGAAGCACCATTCTTCTCTGTGCATTTGACGAGAGGAAAGACGAGCGGGTCGAAAGTACGTTGCGCACTAGCGTTCATATAACTGTAATCGAGAGGAATTTTGTTTTAGATAACTCTGGGTGGTTACGACATGTCCAAGGCGGTGGGACCTCTGACATGAGTCTCGGTTATTTCCAAGGTTGCCCCTCCTGCGCTTTTAAGCATCCCGTCTAACTGGTTCTTATCGGCAGACCTTCTGGGCGGTGCATTTTGACGGAGCTGTTGTCGAAGGGAACTACGTGTCTGGTGACGTCGATGCGGTAAGGTTCAGCTCGTCAGCCGGAAGTTCACGCAGGTTCACCTCGTTTCATATGAACAGGTGATTGACACAGGTTCTAGTTTTATATACGTCTCACAGGCTTTGGCAAATTCGATCTACGCTAATGTCAGTCTCTTGCTATTTCCCTCGCCACCTCACTGACGAATCGTAGATACTCGGGGCTGGCCCCGCAGCAAACTACAGCTCCGGCTTCTTCTCCTTTCCGTGCGACTCCGACCCCACGATTTCATTCTCGCTTGGTGGGCACGACTTCGGACTCAGTATCCAGGACTTTAAGCTCGGACAAGATGGGTATGGGTCAACGTAAGTCAGCGTGTCTTCATATAATGCACGTCGCCTAAATCAGAGCAGAAACTGCATTGGCGGAATCATTGGCCTGGACGACGCATTCATGGAAGGAATTGTCATCATCGGTAAGTTGTTTAGGTATTCGGTTCGTTTGCTCGGATGTTTGTTGATGTCGCGTGTCGCAGGGAATGCGTTTATGAAATCATGTGAGTAGTGTCTTGTTGCATGACGTTCAATCTGGAACGCTCGTGACTGTGATTGTCTAGGGTACTCGATATTTGACTACTCGCACGGGGCGCGGGTGGGTTTCGCGCCTAGCATCAATAATGCACAGTAAAATATTTTGTATAATTGATACTTGTGGATATATAGCGTGTCTAGACATGATAAGTATTATTACTTCGATAGAACTCTGGAGTACACCAGCTTTCTGAGTGCTTGAAAGGTGATAGAAAGACAGCATTGACGCTTCCTGGGAAGGAAGCCCGTGCTCTGCTCACAGGATACGATCTGGTGATGACTTGAACCCCTGAAATCTGTGTGGTTACGGACATGAACTACAAAGTCGCACTGATCACTGCACTTGACGTAGTCAGTGTAAAAACGTTGAAGTATAATTCGCGTGTTTCCAGTGCGGTGAGGTAAACAAGATCCGCGAGGGGCTTTCACATGATGCTGAGCATAACCACTATAAAGTTGTTTTCCGTTGCTGTGTTGCCACGAGGCCAAGTGAATAACAAATCAAAGGAGGTTCGGGATGAGGATGATCCGTATGGCGCTATATCTGCACATTTATTATTTGCGCGTTCCGCGGCTTGCGCGCTGCGCGTTTTCGTCAATTCAGAGTGGGCGCGTTTTAACAAGAGGTTCCGCATTCCCGCACTGCGCGTTTTCATTGAGGGCTTCCGCGTTTGCTTGTTCAAGTCTCTACTAACCGAGTCATTCAAGTTGTGCGGAGCTAACTTAGCGGCTCACGCAGTATCATAGTTTTTTTTTTTTCAAATACATACTGTTTGATACACCCACAAAATGAGTGAGACAACGCGTCCTTCGTACTTAGTCGTCAATGTTTGCATTCAAAGAGTGTGAAGTAAATCATGTACGTGACTCCTGCAAGACATCATTAGGTGAGGCATCGCGAGGATGCAAGGTATAAGTACGGAATGAGATGAGGATGAGGATGAGATAGTGGTATGTACTGCAATGCACGAGAAATGACAAAAACTAGTACCAAATTAGCATGCCTGTCATCAACAAATACTAGACCCGGTCACTTGTCAAACATTGTTTGGGAAATGGTAACTGACCCTCCTCACATGAGCTGGAGGTTAGCGGGCTTCATGGAATAGCGAGAGTCCCAGGGATTGATATGCTCCAGTGTAAAAGGGTCGTCAACGTGTGGTCGAGTGCGCCACAAGACATCCGCCTCGCTGACTGACACAAATTCGGGTGGGGACGATAATGCAGTCTTCGACTTTAGGAATCGGATGGCGGTACCAGCTGGCACTCCGCCGAGTCGACTGCTACGGAATGACGCCGTTTCTGGCAACAACAGCACAGGTTAAATTTTAAGCAAGTAGCACGAATATAAAACTCACTGATGCTATTGGATTGAGCAGGTTGAGTCAACGGAAATGGCTGAGAGCCTGTCGATGGCCCAGATTCTGTCAAAAACAAGGGAATGGCAGCTTGTTGAACATCATTAGCTGATTCTGTTGAGTATATAGTAAAGGATTGAATAATAATAATAAACATAACGGAGGGAAAAACTCTACCCTGTTTTCTTTCGAATCGCTCCGAGTCTCTGAACCTCCGATGGCGATTGATCACTGGTAGGGGAAAGAACTGTGTGAGTTCGTTTCACTGTTGGAACGGATGAGTACACGCATCAAGACCAACACCAAAAACTCACTGTTAGTTCTCTTTGGCGATACAACCTTCATTTTGCCTTTGCCTTTGGGATCCTCGACTTCAGCATCAGTCAACTCCAGTTCTATCAAAGAACTCGCAAGCTCATTGTCCAACTTGGAGATAAATGAATCATTGAGACTGTCCACGTCAGACAAAGCACATCACTGCGATCATCGTGTTCAGAATCTGAACCAGCTATGACAGGTTGAGTGTTCCAAGATTCGTAAACGTCGTCGGGAACCCGGTTCCGTGTGACTGATGGAATTGTTAGGGCAACATGCAGCGAGTAGTACGAGAAAGAAACAGGAACACACCAAATCACAGGTGACAATCGCTGACACTTGCTTTATCTCGGCCCTTGTGTTTCACTAGGTCAGTCCTGGTCGGAAATGCAACATCGACAACCGTTAATGTCTGTCCACTCTTGTTAAGGAGTCGCCAAATAGGCTTCTCTTCTTGTGTCGGCCGTGCTAATGATCGTGATGGCGCTGATGGTCGCTTCTCAACTGGGATATCCAGATAATCAAATACCTTAGGAAACCAGCTTGTAACTGGCTGGTGATCTTGTGATAGGACCATCCACTATCAATGATAAATTGCTCAGGCCGGTCAAGGTAACAGCCCCGGTTCTTCATAGCCTGTATTTCATTTCAGCCATTCTTGCTTGGGGCCTTAGGCACTCTGATGAGACCGTTTCTCTGGAAAATGCTATGAATCAGTGGGTTTAGTAGACTATTAATGTCTTTGACTAACATCGACACCACAAGTCAATAGAGCAATTGATGCGACACAAAAAGTGTTAGCTCTGGTCATGGAAAGGTTAGACGTAGTGCTCCTGCGTGCTTGGCTTCCAATTTTACTAGGTTGCAGTGAGCCACTCATAGTATCCTTGCGATCCTAGAAGCAACTTCAGTACTAATCTTCATGCACTAGCCGATGATCCCGTACCTTTCGCAAGCCAGCCAACGACACTGGGCCCTTAGCCAGTTTACTGTAACCAGCAAGTCGGGTGGAAGAAAGAGTTGATAAGGCTTCCTCTCAGGCATTGGCGAGTGGTACGCCGGCTTCAGTGAGTCGCTTGGTGGTGGACAACTTTTCATTGATGCTTTTGCCACCACTAGCGATTCGGTCAAAAATATTCTTGACGACAGCTGAGGGATTTCCAAGTCGGTGAGGCTGTTCATCCTCTTGGACTTCCAGTGGTTTGCCACTCCGAGTCGATGCCTTGCAAGGGTGTTTGCTGCGACCGTGACCACACTCCACACAGTGGCCTTCATCCTGCGACCGAGCAAAGAATTCCTCGCAGCCGCACACTTGACTGTCAGATTTGGAACCTCTACAGAAGTGCTCCTGATCCATAGTGTTGCTCTCGGAATCCATGCAGAGCAATAGCACTAGTGGGAGAAGGTAGAGAAAGACTTCACACGGAAGAGGAGACAAGAGACAGAAACGACTCGGACCTGAAGAGGATGGTTAACAGGTACTAGATAGTGCGGTTTATATTTAAAGTTTAAAACCTATGACATTCTGCCTGCCTTCTGGTTGACGTATTGTCCGAGTAAGTATTTCAAGAGTAATAAACTACTACGACTCTCATAAGTTTAAGTTACTCTTGCCCAGCCGCTAAAAAGTATGACAACACTAGTAACGCCTGACACCATAGCCTTGCCCGGTTGAACCAGCTCGGTTCAGCGAGAGACACATGTAGTTCTTTCGACCCTCGTCGGCCAACAGGGATAGCCCTCGAAGATCGGATACTCATCACCTTCCCACTCATTTGCTGCTAGGCCTGCAGTCGCACGGTGTTATATCCTCGGCTATGACTTCAATAAGGGTGGCAGAGAATTGCTGGCGTGTTCATCGTTGATGAAAGGATCGATTTGCGATGGAACGCTGATAGCTTCGTGGTGGATATGGTGTCGTTGTTGATCATTGATAGTCTGTACCATATGTAGAGGCTCCTCTTCATTATCACTTTCTTCTTCGTCAATTGGATGCCCCGCTCCACTCTGATGTTGTCGTCGAGTCGTAGTAGGGCCATGTACCCCGTAGTGTTCTTCAATCACATCAGGGTGGACTCCTTCACAGTCGTCTCGATACACGCCAAACTGCATTTGACCTAAAAAAACGTAAATCCTGGGTCACAATGAGATAATTTGTCAGGGTCACATAAATGTAAAACGACGCATTTACCTTAGGGCTCTTATCATTTGTATCAGGACCACGTATCGGATGACAGTTCCATTCCGCCCAGAAATCCGAACAATCTTGATTGATTTCATCGAGGAACAGAGTCTGGAGCAACCAGATATGACTAGGGCTGTGAGGGTTGAGCCCGTGATGGTTTTCAAGTCGAGTGAAAAATGCTCTCCACCTCCTAGCAAACTGCGTGCCAACTTCAACCCATAGACGCTCGATCCGCGAATTCCGTGTAGAACTTGTCCAGAATTAGTACCTAACACAAAGCTGCAGAACAAACACATTACGACTCACGATCCCCACATGAAGGACGCACGACGTGGTCCATTCCGCATTATCATATATGTTGCAACATCGAGGTTCTCTCCTCCACGATCGCCTCGCACACGAGAAGGCGTTCCGAAGTTTTGCATTGCGTGAATGAACAGTTCCAAAACTGTGCTGGAGCGATTGTCGTTACTTGCTCTCAGTCCCGTTATCTAATAGACATATAAATTAGAGTCAGTAATCAACGCAAATGCGTTAAAAAACACATCGCACCGTTCTACAAAACCCGTCAATAAAGCCATGAATCATGATCCCCCATCGAATTAACTTATGGTGGCCATCTACATGCCATAACGCATTGGGGCGCTTCACATGGTATTTCCGTCGACGTTTGACCTGTCCGATCTCGCAGGACTTGGCCTAAGCCGTCAACCCTGCGAAGCGACTCTACTACTCGTCGATGTTGCACCCGGAGACCATGTCTGTGAAGATACCCAACAATGTACGGATACCTGAATCGGGTCGCTTTTTCTTGAACTCCTTGATGAGGAGATCAAGATCAGTATTGGTAAGAGTGGAGTACTTTCTTTCAACTCCATGGCGCTTCATATAGAGTCGCAGCGTGTTTCTGTGGACTCCTAGCGTTTTGGCAAGTTCCGTAAGTCTAATTTGACGTGAATTCGAGACCGCTTCAGAAAGGAAACGCAATGTCGATGAATTTTTTTGGACGGCCTGGACGACCTGTATGCAGCAGTGAGACTGGTTTCTGGAAACGCAACGTTGGTGTCCATTCTGGGATTCACGCATAGTCAACAATCATTCAAAATGAGATAATACGACTCCGAATTTCGAGTATTGTGTCGAAACGACGACAATTGAACAGAGAGATCTCCTAGCAAGGTTGCTGCACAAGTCAGCCAATCATGCATCTCATGTCCCTGCGGGTCATGTGCAAGGGCTTGAAGCAGGGGTATAGCGTCTCCAGATACAGCCTCTAAGTGAAACGTAAGTTGAAGGGGGTCGGCGTCTTCTTGATGCAGAATACGATAGGCACGTCGGTAGATATCTGACAATGTATCATGAGCCGTAAGAAAATTTGCTGACCATGGAGCTTGAGTTGGCATGCGAGATGGAAATGGCGGAAACGCCTGTGGTGGTATAGGCATTACAATCACTGCAGAAATGAGATTTAGAGCATTCAATAGAATGATAGAGTAGCGTACAATGACAATGTATCAAACCCGTGAGAAACATGGTCAGCGGTCACAAACATAGGCAGTCAAACTATAGTTTGACTGCCTTCGTCTAATTTCAACGTCCTGCTAATATGTCGACAGAGTCTGTTGTACCAACTCGACACCCAATCTATTACTTTAATGCGTCCAGCCACATCTTCCAGGTGAGTTTTATTCATCTATCAAAATCATACTAATTTGAAAACTTTCCATTGACAGGTAGAGAATACACTATACAAACTCTGCAGTTCAATCTTATCCGCGTCTTCCAATGTCTTTCATGATATGTTTTCTACCATGGAGAATTCTAGGCAACCAGAAGTAGATGGCATGTGTGATGATAAACCAATTCACCTTAACGGAATATCTCGGGAGACGTTTGAGTTGTTCCTTGAATTCACGTTTGGAAGGTATGTTGATATTTTATGTTTTTAGTCAGTAACTGAACCATTTGTCATGGTAGAATGCTACCGGATCTCATAGCATTGATGAACTCTCGAAATTTCTCCGTTTCTGCGACATGTATCAATGCTCCCATGCACGCGAATTCGTTATTTCCCGCATATATCTTCGCACATTACTGTTTCCACCCAGCTAAGTTAATCAACCTCGCCATCAAATACCACATCCGCCATCTTTCCATATGCTTTCCAGCAACTGGCAGCAGAAACCCCAATTACTGAGCTCACTCATGCCCACCAGGAGTTGATGGGCGACAAAGTTTTTTTGAATGTAGTTTATGTTCAGGCTGCTTGATAGTCACCGCCGGATCATAGCTGCGGAGGAACGAAGATCTTGATGCACTCGAATGAGTGTCAAGACCCAACTGGTTGCAACAAGGACTGGCACGCAATTTGGTGGAATGGTATGGGCCGTTTTCTTCTTGATGGTAGGAATCCACAGCTGTACGACGACGCCGTCAAACGCTTCAAGGAACTGCAGTTTGGACGCGTCAGTGAAGGATGCAAAGACCTCATGTTCAAGATTCTCGATCAGGGAGCGGCATTCAAGCACGCCGAACAATTTGTTTCTGAGACTTGCAGCTTCCTAGTAGAGAAACTGGTTTTCGAGCCTGAGCCTCCTTCGCCATAGTCTTACTAGTACTCATGTTAGTTTTACTCATGTTTGTACCAGTACAAATACTATACTGCAGTGGTCCGAGTCTCAAATTGCTTGAAGGAAAGTAGAGATCATAATTATCATGGCGGCAACTTCAAGTTGAGTTTTGAGTCCAATGAAAACGCGCCAGCTCTGGATTGCGAAAACGCGCAGTGCGGGAATGCGGAACCTCTTGGTTAAACGCGCCCACTCTGGATTGACTAAAACGCGCAGCGCGCAAGCCGCGGAACGCGCAAATAATAAATGTGCAGATATAACGCCATAGATCCGAGATGCAATGCGCCGACGTGTTGTTTACGGCCGAGCGGAAAGAGGGCGTATAACACGTAAACCTCGCTTTTAAGTGACCTAGTATATCGATACATATGATTATGTAAGAGAGTTTCAGATAATCTGGCAAGTTGTAGGTGCGAAGTCCAGTGGCCATTTCGGAGTCGGAATCAATGACTGGTAGTGCTTTATTGGGGTTGCACAATAACAAGTCCAGGCCCAAGAAAATAGAAATTGGAATCTAATGTAATGCAGTATCACTGGTGGGATGTTCAGTGAAAGTACACATACCTGGGCAATTTTTGCCTTCAGACAAAACAACGAAGCAAGATTGCAGACCTCAAACAATCGTCCGCGTCAACACTGCCTTTCGAATCTGGGAGGGCGATGGCAATTCTATAGGGCCT